CTCATGTGATGAAATTTTCCACTCAGTAAAAGCTTTTCTATTTGGTCCACCTTGGTCACATGTAATTAATTGTACATTTGCTCCGATATTTTTTAATTTTTCTAAACAAATCTCAACGAGTTGAACAATCTCTTTATGCGTTGTGTTTTTTCCAGTCAAAAAGTATGCTACTATTTGTCGCCAAGGATTTTCTGCATTAATACTATCAAGACTATGGGGGCTTGTTCGCCCTGTTGTCGTTTGCGCAGACGGAGTTTTCGCTCGGTGGAGTAGGATCGCAGTAGTGAGGTCCGTTATTGACGAGAGTAGAATATGTGAATATAAATATATTTACAGCTATGTACAGGTATATACACGTTTGTTTTAGCTCTAGTTTATGCGCCTTGCGGCGCGTGGCAAAAATATATCTACCGAAAAGCGCGGTAATTTAGATTACGCTCTCGGTAAGATATGTGCGGGGCCGTTACGGTCACCCTGATGGGGCCGTATGGGCACTCCGGTTCAGGCTCTGAGTCCGACTCGCTCGTAGTCCAGCCTCTGGTCTGCGTGGCCTGCGTGCGTACTTCAGTGGTCGAAGTCTGCGTCGTCTGACACCGTACCGTGCGTGGTGGAGATCGCGGTGACGGTGGCAACGGAGAGATCGGTGAGAATAGGCGCGCTTGGATGTAGCGTGGGCTGGTGAAGCGCCTTACACGTAGATCCCACGGGCTGATGAATATCCGTGGCGGTCTCGTTAAGCGAGGAGGTGGAAGCTCGATCTTGTGTAATTTCCACGGCAGGTACTCTATGCAGGTTAAACGTGGTCGGCCGCGTCGAGGTGATGGTTCTGCTGTCGCTGGTTTTGCAGTCGCCGCTCGATTCGCCTGGCGTTCTACCGCTGCTCTGCTCACTGCAGGTTCAGCCGCTCCTACGCTCGCTGCTGGCTCCACCGACTGCTTCGGTACTCCGTCGAGAGGCGGGATCGCGCTGGGAAATCCCGGAAGATCCGCGGTGCTCGGCTCGTTGGTGGTTGGTGCTCCGTCCGCTGGTTCCACTCGTGGCTGTCTCCTCGGCGTAACTACCGCTCTCGGCTTGCTGGTGCGCATGAGTCCTCGATATATCCTGTGAATTATCTTTGGAGTCGATTCGCAGAGTTGGCTTATCTCCGCTCCCTTTTATACTGTAGTTCACCGTTTTTCAAGTCCGAGAATGTTATTGTTTTCATGCGGCTTCTAGCGGCGTCTCGTGGAGAGTTGCTCCGGGGGTGTCTCCCTCGGATTGAATGTTTTCGCGCGTGTCGCGCGCGCGGTCGCGAGTTGTATTGTGGTGGCCGTGTTGCCGTTCCGTAGGGGC